AACTCTGGAAGACTGCTCGAGGTGAGGCTCGGATGGATTAAAGCTGCTCTGCCTGTCCTCATTTTGAGCTGTGGGGGATGGCTCGCCTGCCAGCCGTGGCATGGTGCCCAAACACACTGATTGTGGCTTTGAGACTCTAACCAAAACGATCACAAGTACGTGTAATTAGTCACACTATTTCATTAAAATGATTTCTTTATTATGTGTTTATATTGATGACATTGCTAGGCGATATAAATGGCTGTATTTCCTGTCTTGAGAGTAATTAGAGCCTCGCTGTCTAGCGCTCCGCCTCCAGAGGAAATTAGTTCTTACAGTTCCAATTATTTGGTTTACTTAAGCTTCTTTGCTGTTTCTTTGTGCAGTGACACCACTCCCAAGCCTCATTAACAAATGCAAGAGTGAATTTTTAAGCAGCACTCTGACTGTGGATGGCAGCAGGCTGCCTTTGTTATAGGAGTGCTTGGCTTCGACGTTGAGCCGTTCCATTTTGAAGGCTTGCTGACACTTGAAGTTGTTCCAGGTTAAGCCCATACGTGGACACCTTATTCTGAAATAGGGACTTCCTTCCTGTAAACCTGATCCCTCTCTGGAGCAGAGCCAGGTGCTCTTCTTCTGGAGTTAGAATGCCTGCCTGTGAGGCTGGTCAGGAGCCTACAGGTGGTCTGTGATCAGAAATGCCTGGTTTGAGGTAGGTGGGGGCTGTGTTTGACTTTTGCTGCTTATTGTTTTTTGCTGGGACAGTAATATCAGTTGTAAGTCAGCACTTTGCCTTCTCTGCATTTGACTGTGCTGTCGTCTTTGTCGCTGCAGGTTCTTAGCCATTGTCACTGAGTTACTGCTTCGGAAAATTGGAGCTCTGTGTGAGCTGCTATCCTCGCAGCACGGCTCCTCAGCCAGCACAGCCGGCAGCCGTTGGAACTCTGCTCATCTTATGCTAGAAGAGGAAGTCAGACTGCTTCGTACAGAGCAAACAGCAGCACTACCGTGGCTGTGATACGAGCTGCAACTGCTGTGTTGTTTTTTTTTTTTTTTGCGTAAGTTAACAGTCTGAAGAGAAACGAAAGCACCTCTCCTTATCTTGTACATCTGTGCTGCAGTGTGAGCTGCTTTCCTGTATGGATTCTGCTCTTCTAAAAACGATTCTGTCACCTCTGATGGTTTGCAAAGCTCTGCTGGGTGGGATGGATAGCTGAGGAGGAGGGGTGGCCGTCCGAAGGCACTGCCTCCTCCCATTGCTGACCCCCAGTGTCCTCCTGGGCCCTGCTCTCACTGTGCCTCCCAGCCTGACTGGTGCTAACAGGAGGGAGAACAAAGTGTCTGACCTGAGTGCCTTGAGTGTGGGAGAAAGAAGTTCCAGACCTCGACCACTTCTCTATTTTTCCTATTTGTAGAAGCTCTCTTCATATCCTAGACTCACAATATTCATTATTTCTTAAAGAAATGAATGGTTTCCCTGTATAAAATGTACTATTTTCCCTCCCAGCATTGTTTGATTTTCTTCTGTGATTTCATACATCAAAGAGGTTGTGCTGGCTGAGGCTACATGGATGTGCTCTTCAGAGCCATGCAGTGTTGCTTTTATGTTCATCCTTTTGCCTCTGGATGGGCATCATTGTAGTCCCTGTTTGTTAATTCTATGAGGGTTTGTCTTGCAGAGATCAGATTTTTGTTCTTGCTTTGGGCTTGCTAATCCAGGGACTGAGCACTGCCTGAGTGCACTCCAGTACAACACACATGTCCTGGGGCTGCTCAGAGAAAGGAGAGAGTTATGGGAAAACTGATTTAAAAAAAAAAAAAAAAAGCTGTTTCCAGTCAATATTAAATGATCTATCACCAAAGATTTTAAACTCTTCCAGGCATGCAATATGGAGCCTTGAGAGAAACAAGTGACTTGGAATAGGAAAACAAGTGCCTGGCTTGCTTTTGTCTGGATAGAGACAATTATTGTGCCCCAAAGGAAGGAAGAAAGCAGCTGAGAGCAGAGCATCCCTCTCAGGGAGCAGAAAGGCAGTGCCTGGCTCCATCATGGACAGCTTTGAAGGAAGGAGCATAAACCAGAGGGGAGGCTGAGAGCAGAGCTGGTGCCAGGCTCCAGACACACAAACCAGCTGGTGGCTTTGTGGCAGTGTGGGGACCAGGCAGGGTGCCCTGGGAGCTGAGTCTGGCTTCAGGAAAAGGCACTGCCTGATGATGTGAGTCTGGGGCTGTGTGTTGCCTGCAGGTGCCCCTGTGAGCAGCAGGGCTGTTTGCCCCATACCATCATGCTTCTCCATCCAAGGCGGCTGTGGTGGTTTACCTCCTGCCTCTCTGGGCACAAGTTCAGCATCGTGCCTCGTAGCTCTGAGGAGAAGGCACAGAGGGATCCTCTGCTCCCTCCAGAGGCTGTGCCAGCTGCCCCACATCCCTTTTACCAATAAAAGAGAACTGCTTGACTCTTACTTCTGAGAGATTGGATAGCATTTGTAGTAGTGTTTATAAGGTCACCCCTGTCCTGCAGCCACCCTATTTCCTGGAACCTTTAGTAGAACGTGACTTGCTTAGAAGACAAAATGATGGACTGTAAATACTTCCTTAGTCATATAGATAGAGCCTAGACCTGTCCTAGGCCAGTGAGTGCTGTAGGAAATTCCACAGAACCAGGGTGCAGCCAAAGAGATGCCATTGACTGTTTGGTGGGAGAGTCCAGGGGTGAGCAAACCTAGAGAGGAAACTTGGGGTGGAGCAGGTGCTGCTGTGGGCTTGTGATGGGTTTGAAGGTCTGCTAACCAACAGGAACAAGCTGGGATGTGAAGCTGTGGTTAGTGTTAATTTGCTTAAATAAGACACCTCTCCTTAAACAAGAAACCCAAAGCCGTGCAATTGTTAGCTTCTGTTTTATGTAGGTCTCCTGGAAACTTTCTCTTTAGCTCACAGACCTCTGACCACAAGGACTCACCATTTCTTTAAATATTGACTACGTCATGTAATATGGGGTTTGTGTGAGATAATGGCACTGAATCACAGGGCTGATACATGGGCTTCCAGCAGATTACAGAACCTTGTCAGCAGAGACAGATCTTCAGGGAGTCTGACATAGAGGGTCTTTTGCTAGGACATCTGGAAGGCAGGCAAGGGGGTGAGGCTGGTCATTGGGTGCTTGCACCAGGCCATGGACAGCTGTATGGTATGGCTGGTAAAAGCCATGACCTTCACCCACCTGAGCCCTGACAAGATGTGTCCTTGGATCACACTGGGAAAATGAATATGCAGAAGAGTGAAGGAGTTTTTAGTTCTCACTGGCAGTCGGTTATGTTTATCACATTCATCCTAAGCTTACTGTTTGGTTCGGTCTGATTTTTGAACTTCATCAGAACTGCACTGAGAATTGCCATCCTGACAAGCACTGCTCAAATGGCTGCAAACTGTAGAGGTAGGCAGCCTCCAAGAGGCTTCATTTTCCCTCTCTTTAGCTTCATGCTGACACCTCTGTCTGTGAACATGAGCTTTGACCCACCTAAGGACGTTTTCTCTTTTGGGGTTGAGAACTGTTTTGACATCCAAATGCCCTGCAGCCTGCACAGGCTCTCAGGACATCGGTGCATGGTGCCAAACTGGCAGGATGGTGATCCCTTAGCAGGGTGTGCCTCCTGCCACCAAAACACACTGTGCCCCTCCCAGCAGCTGGTGATTTTCATGGGTCATAACCAGTGTTGGTCTGACGTCAGGTACAGAAATAGAGCTTGCAGCAGGAACAAGTGCCTTCCCCTTTGAGCAGAGGGCACTGACCACTGCAAGCTGTGTCTGTGTCTGCTCCCTGGTCCCAGCACCAGCTACTCAGCTTTTCTTTTTCTCCATTGCTTCAATGAGAGGAGAGGAGTCCTCATGTAGAACAGCCAAAGGCATTTTCAGAGCGTGAGGAAGCAGAGTTTCAAATCCCCTCTTGGATAAAGGAGTAATCTTAACCATTTCCTGTCTTATACTTACAGGGAGGAGCAGTGACAACTGTATCCTTTCCCTGTGTTTTAGGACAGCAAGATTCATGTGCTGCTAAAACCCCAGTCCTGCTTTGGATCTAGTCTTTAACAAGCAGATGGATACGTTTGTACTGGACATCTGCTGGCTGAGGATTGCCCTCTGAGAGGGAGGATGGCCCTGCTATTGACAGCCCAGGTGCACGCTCCCGCATTTCCTGCAGCCACTGCAGCTTCAGGCCTTGCCATGCATGCCCTGCTGTGCTTCTGCCCTGGTGCCAGACCAGAGGAAGCCAAGCAAGGCAGCACTGGTGGTGGAAGCTCCTGCAGCTAGGGCAGGCAGTGGGAATGGGACTGTGAGATGAGAGCCTTGCTGTGACCCACAGCCCAGCCAAGCTCCCCGTTTCCCAAAACAGAGCCCACCTTGGTGCTGCTGCTGAGCAGCTCAGGTCCCCACATAACCTATTTTTCCTCGGTTCTGTGCTATTGCTACAAATGGCATCGGGTGGGATGCAGCTGCTGGGAGCAGATGCTGAGCAGCATCAGGGAGAGCACAGGTCTCAGTCTGCAGATGGAGTGTTGGAACGAGGTCAGGGAAAATGCTTGATTTGGACTTTTTTAATTAATGGAAAATTAGCTTTTTGATAAGATCAGAACTTCCCAGGAAAACATCCGTGTTCCTCTGAGGTTTGGAGTGTCTCAGGGTGATGGTGAAAGCTGCAAAGTTGAAAATAAACTTTGTGCAACAATCTGAAAAAATAAAGCGTGGGGAAGCAGAAATAGAGCTGACCCTGTGGGAGCTTTGGCTCAATTGCAGCTGGAGCTGCACGTCCCTGCAAGGAAAATTCCTTCAGTAATCCATGAAGAAGCCTTCCATTGCTCCATGAAGGAGAACTCTCCTGAAATGTGATGCTGCAAATAAGAAGGGGACAGACCTTTCCTTTTGGCATAGCAGTGGTTGACTGAGCTGGGTGTTGCTTCAGGATGGCGTCAGCCCAGCTCTATGGGGACTGCTGGAGAAATGCACTGTGCAGAGGATGCTTGAAGAAACCCAGAGCATCCCTCTGAGCTGCTGCAGAGCCATTGCCTGGGCACAAGCCTCACTGTTTGCCCATGCAAGGCAATGTCTCTGTTCTCCGAGTGTCCACAGAGCATCAGATAAAGGCTGTGAGATGTTAGGATGAGAGGTGATGGCTCAGGTTGGGCATTAAGAACAACTTACTGTCCAAAAGAGCCGTGATGCATCGGCACGGGCTGCCCAGAGATGTTCCAGAACCGTGGGGACGTGGGACTGAGGGACGCAGTGATGGACACGGTGGGGTGGGGGTGGGGATCTGAGAGGGCTTTTCTGATCCTAATCATTCTGTGATTCCATGACAGAGAGCACTGCTGGGGCCGCAGAGCATGCAGAGCCCTGAACCCGGCTCACGTGAGTGCTGAGGCTGTCGCAGCACTTCCTGTACGAAGAGACTCACAGAGCTAATATAAATAACCACATGGCTGCTGGCCCACCTACGGTATTTCCTAGGTGGGAAAACCAAAGCACAGTGAGTTTTTCTCATCTATTTCTGAACTTCTGACACCCATCGCCTGCCTCCCACACATCCGCAGCTGCTGATGTCGGCCAGTGTGGGTCGGGGGTCTCATCCCTTCCAGTAATGGGGGTTTCATTCTCATCTTGAAATGGGACCAGCCCAATCACAGCCCAATGGACCTAGGGCAAGAGAGCCCCGTTTGGGGCTGCTCTGAAATGCATGGCTGTTCATAAGAGGGTGAAAAAGCTTAAAATCTGCATTATCTTAAAACACAAATGCTGCAGTGAAGTGTGTCTGATGTCTCTGGATCCCCTGGGAGATGCTCTGCGTCCCCAGCTGGGTTTCTGCAGGTGCACGTGAGGTATCAGTGCTGCAGATGCTGCCCTGCCGCGTGAGCTGGTGATGCTTGCTGGGGTGAGAGCAGGCCAAGGGCTGTGCTGAAAGCTGGGAAAAAGGGAAATGTTCACTGCAGGGAATGCAAGTAGGTAGCGGAAAAGAAATAGTTGCAGTGTGCTGTTGGTCTCTGTGAATTCGTGGTGAATGCAAGCACACAGGCTGGTGGAGTTCTCTTTTATTAAATGGAAGGGTTCTAAAACAACAAAGAAATGGGATTCACATCATTTTTCTACAAAATATTTATGTTTTCATAAGTTAAATCTATAAAACAGCGTTAGCATTAAATAAAGTTTTCATATTGTCACAGTATTTTTATGTTTCCAAAACGTAGCATTTCAAATATTCCCACAACAATTTTACAAGAAGGTGCAAACAAAATGCCAGATGAGCACAAAGCTGCTGTTGCTTGATTTTTTGGAAGTAATGACCATTAGAAATCCACCCACCCTCGAATATTTCTTTATAAGTCTCCGTGCCTCTTGTGTGGCTCGGCAAAGAGTGGATTCCATTGCTTTAAGCTTCAGACAGCTTTGGTTCCTCTGACAGCATCTCAGCCAAGCTGGGGTTAAGGGCCTGAACTTCACGAGTTGGCCTTTGTAAGGTTATAGGAAGCTGCCCAGATGTAGCAGTTGTTGGATCGGGGTGAGCTCAGTGCTGTGCTGATGGTAGTGCAGTGGTGCAGAGCCACGTCCCATTCTTGGGGGGAAAAAGGGACCCAGGAGGCTTGCTGGAGCCTGAATGAATGCCCTCGAAGCAGGAGTCCATGCTTAAAGCTTATCACAGGCAGCAAAGAGGGCTTTGGGCTTCGCTGGTGATGTTCTGCTACTTCTCACCCTGATTCAGATATAAATTGATGGTAGAAAAATAACTGGTGGTAGAACAAAATGAGGGTAGAAAAATAGTGTGTGGGAACTTGAGTGACATTGCAATTTGGGGAATTGTCATCTGGTGCACCCCCAGAAGGGGCTAACTGTTGGCACAGCAGGGCTGTTAGGCTCCTGGATGTAGTCAGCATGGAATGAGGTGGGCTCTGGGCACCCTATGGAAGTGAGTTGCATTGCTCAGTGGCCTTTTGCGTCAGCAGAATACACCTCTAGGCCACGTGCTCACTTTTAGGACCAAATTCTGCATAGGGAAACCCTCAAATCTCTGCTGCCCCTTGCGTGGTGCTGGTGTGACCGTGACATGGCCAGGTGACAGCATGGCTCTGTGTCCTGCTCCTGGCTGCCCAGCTCAGGAATGGGGAACTACACGTGGTTGTGGGTGAACTACATACAGGGCCAAAATATTAAAGCACGGCAGGCTTTTCAAGTTCGGCTTTTTTTCTTAAAGCTCAAATCCTTTCTGAAATCATTGGCCAAACCCCAAAACCATGGGTACCGTGCTAGCAATCGGTGGGCTTGTCCTGCAGTGCACACTGCTGGCCAGGAGCATTCAGAGGGACGTTGTCCTGCAGTGTGTCCTGCGTGTGCTGCTGGCCGTGGCTGTGCAGTGGAGCACTGTCGTGCAGCTCCTGCCGGGACAGCCGCCTGCGGAACTCATCCGTGGTGAAGTAGTAGAGGATTGGGTCCACGCAGGAGTTGAGGCTGGCGAGACAGAGGGCGACAGCGTGGAACACCGAGATCACCTTCTGGGTGCAGCAGTTCTTAATCTTTTTGGTTTTGACAAAGAAATCCAGGGGGAAGCTGATGTGGTAAGGCGCAAAGCAGATCAGAAATACCAGAGCGCAGGTGAGAATCATCTTCAGAGCCTTTTTTTTCTCCCCGAGGTCTGGTGAAGCAGAATTCCTTTCCTTCAGCGATAAGACCGTCTTCCAGGAGCAGTACAGGATGATCAGCAGGGGCGTCACGAAGCCCACCAGCTCCCCGATGGTCATCATGATGATGGAGGTGGGAAGGTCCACCTCCTGCACGGGCAGGTCCACAAAGCACTCTTCGGTGGCGTTCTGAGTGAGCCTCAGCAAGGGGAAAGGCAGGCAGCCAATGCACACCACCACCCAGCCCACGATGCTGATGTACACATCGCAGACACGCTTACAGTCGCTGAATCGGAAGGGGTACATCAGGAACAAGAAGCGGCGCACGCTGATGCACACCAAGAAGTAGATGCTGGCGTACATGTTGACGTACTTCAGGTAGAAGCAGAACATGCAGAGGCCTCTTCCAAATTTCCACGTCTTGGTCAAGTAGTAGAAAATCCTCAGGGGTAAGGATAAAACTTGTGATAAGTCGGCGATGGCCAAGTTGATCATAAATATCACAGCCCTTTTCGTCTCTTTCATGTAACCGTAGAAAACCCACAAAGCCAAGACGTTTCCTATGAGTCCAGGGATGAGGATGAATGCGTATATGATGGCGTAGTAGAGCTTCAGGTCAGTGCTGGCGGAGCAGCTGGAGCTGTTCTCCATGGCCCCAGTGCCCCAGTCCTAGTGTGTGTTGGGGTCTGTGAGCTCAGTGCTGCCCCTGCCCCAAAGCTTTGCTTCCCCTCCTTCCAAGCACCATCTGCCTTTGCTCTTCATGAATTTTGCTGCTGTGGCCGTGTAGGTGTGTGGGGTCGATGCTCCAATGCGGTGACATCATCCTCACTGGGTTGACCTGAGACTGAAATCAGAAGGTTTAAGGCCCTCCAGCACCGGTGTTGGTGAGCGAGGCTCAGAGACCCGACTGCCCCATGCTCTTGGCCAGGAGCTTTGTGCATTGGTCCGAGCTGTGCTGCTGTGTTCTCAGAAGCTGCCTGATGTCAGTGCAGCTGCTGGCAGTGCTGGACAAGGTGAGATCCCACGTGGAAACCCATCGTCACCAGCTGAAGCAGTGGGCAGCCCAGTGCCAGTCTGTAACCCCACTGGGCACTGCAGACCCTCCTTCAAAGAAGCTGAAAGACAAAGATGTGTTTAGAGCACCGTGTGGATGTGCAGAAACCAGGGAACATCTCTGCCCATAAGAAAAACCCAATGGGTGGCATCTGGTGGCAGCTCATCACCACCCACCCAGCACTGCATGCAACCATGTGCCAAACCCCCAGAGAGCGAGCAGAACATGGGTTCAATCATCATTGCAAACCAGGGCACGAGCAGCAGCTCCTGGTGTTGCAGGACAGATTCGGGCTGTGAGCTGGTTCTGCAGCCTCAGTGCCCATCAGCCACTTTCTGCCACCTGAGTGCACTCAGGGCAGTGAATCTGATTTTCTCCCCGTGGCTTTTTTGAGCCTTTCCTTCAGCCACCTGGTGAGCATCAGCACTGGAAATCCCAGGTATCGGTTCTGCATCAAGCAAGTGGGTGGGCTTGATTTAAAGCTTGTTTGCATGGTGAGCAGTTGACCTTACCTAAATATATCAGACCAAAAAAAACCCCCAACAAGCAGATCTTATAAATACAGGGGGAGTTCAGCCCTCTGATCCACATTGCTCTGGTTTGGCTTTTGCTTCAGTGTGAAGGACTGAAGTGGTAACAGCGTGGGTGCCACGTGGGTGCAGCAGACATGGCTATAGAGCTGCATCCTGCTGTGCTGTGCAGTGCTTCTTCCTGTGCTAAAATACATGTCTGCCAACAAAGCTGACACCTAGCATGTGCCAGTGTGGCTGTAATGCTGCTTTGGGTGATGAAATGAGAAAACCTGCAAAAGGAAACAGTTCCAGGGGCAGCTTTCTGCGTCGCTTTTGCTTGTACCGCAATGATGAGCCCAATGAGATGGAGATGTTTCTTTTTCCAGGGAGCCAACATCCAGTGTAACCATGGGCAGTAATCACATTAACTCCAGAAGCAACCAGCACTGAGTCGTGGGCTTGTTTTGCAAAGACTTCCCAATTCTTTTATTAGCTCTGAAGTTGACCATCAGCCACGATTAATTCCAGAAGTGTGAGTAATCTGTGAGTTACAGGGGTGTCTCAGCATGGGTGGGGAGCTGGGGACTCCCATCGCTGCCTGCTGTAGTGGCACCAGTAGCAGGGGGGTGATGGGACCAGGCTTCAGCAGCAGCTCTGGGGTTCAGCATCACGTGGAGGAGGGACAGAAGGCCAATGGGACAAACAGCTTCAGGGTCCTTCTGTGGGTGCTCAGGGACTTTCCTGCTGCCCACCCGGGATTGGGGGATGCTCTGCAGCCACAGGACCCTGATGCAGTGAGAAACTGCTCCTTGGAAATCCCAGCAGCCGCAGTGCTGAGCACAGTGTTTCAGGCAGAGGACTGCATAAAAAGCAGCCAGAGACTAAAAAAAAAAAGGCTGCAAAAAGGGGAAATTTTGTTTCACGGCAGCTCAGACTGTGGTGGGGGTGAGGCATGACTTCCTTCTTCCTCCAAGGCTTCTGCCCCCTCTTCATTTTGCCAGCAGTCCCCACAGTCGGACACTTTAGGATGCTGGATGGAGGCTTCTTGTTGGTACTTAATAAGTAACAAGCAGAAGTTATCAAAATATGATCTCATAATTATGTAAGACTGCTTCTAGGTTCTGAATAAAAAAGAGTCCTCTCTCTGGAACCAGTTTGCTGGCAGATTTTTGGGTTTACATCTTCTCCAGGGGCAGTTCTGCATCTCACAGTCAGACGTGCAGGTGCCTCTCTTTCCTTCTCCAGTTTGTAGATGCTACCAAAGGAGCCAATGTGTTTTTGCTGGCCATCATCCTCAGATCCTCATGTGTTTGGCCATCCTCGTGATGTTGATGTGCTTTGAGCCAGGTGAACCCCGAACTCTGTGCTCCCACCCCAGAGTTGTGTTGGGAGCAGAGCTTTGTGCCCCAGCCCAGGTTACCAGCAGCCTCCGGAGCATCCACCCCATGCAGCATCTCATCTGAGCTGAGCACCCACCCTGCTTTGGCTTGTCATAAAATATTTGCAGTCTGTTTTCAAGGCAGATACAGCTGTTCTGTTTGATTCAGTTGCAGAGCACTGGAGCAGCTGCCCATTCATCATCGCCTGTGGTTGCTTGAAACATGAGTCACTCAAGTGCTGAGTGCTTATTACAGAAGAAGAGCAGTGAGAGCCAAGACAGTACAGGTTAGGGCTGGGGGGCATTGGCACAGCTGAATGAGGTTTCCTTCCATTGTTCCTCATTAACTTCTCATTTGCTCATGCTCCAGATGTGTGATTGCTGCCAGCCCCATCCCTGCAGTGCTGGAAGTGGTTGGGCTGCCAGGTCAAGCAGAGAGGAGCCCCCATGGCTGATTGTAAACCATCATCACCCTCTGGAGCTGCTCCTGGGGAGGATCAGGACGCTCGATCCCAGGAGCACTGACTGGGGCTGCCCCAGGAGCAGCGGCTGGGCAGGCAGGGGGATTTCAGCTGGGTAAGTCCCACTGATGTGCACGAAAATGTAAACACTTCAATTCCCAGTGAGATGCTCTGCTTTTGCCTCTTAACCATTTGCCCAAGCTCTTTTCCTCCCTTGTTGATATTTATCTGCATTTGAAGTGGAAAACGCACGCTGAGGGAGTGCTGGGGTTCAGCCTGGAGCCTGCACTGCCTCCTTTCCCTGATGTGCTGTGGTTAACTGGTCACCAAAGTCACCAAAGCCGTGAGGTTTCCACCCAAACTTCTGGCACACAGTGTTGGGGCACAGCCGTGTGCCCCCGGCTGAGCAGAGCTGGTGTTCCCACAATGCATACTCCAACTCATCCCCACAGCAGCCTCCCCAAGGCACAGCAAGCACTAATTTTTACCATTGAGTCTCCTTGCTTTTAGTCACTTAATTTGGAGATTTCTGACGGTGCCCCTCTGCTCAGCATCCCCTGTCCTCTCCTACTGCAAGCGGCACAAAGTCGCCTCGATGAGAGGTCGGAACTAGCTGATCTTTAAGGTCCCTTCCAAACCAAGCCATTCCATGATCTACCTGGCACTAACAATAAGAAAAACACAACCTACCCCAGCAATGAACCTGACCAAAGCGTGCTCCTACCTTGGCAGACCCACGGTGCCTGGGCGCGCTCCCACCGCTCTCGGCTCTCAAAGCAAAAGTGCAACCGCTGCTGCAGGCGTGCAGGCTGCGCCGGCGCAGGACCCTCCCCAAAGGGCTCGCCTCACTGCTGCCCGTGGTGTCAGGGCAGAGCCCAGCATGGTAGGTGGTTGTCTTTTTTTTTTTTTTCCTTTTTCCCCCCATTTATTTATGTACGTGGTCAAGAGCTCTACGGAAGCGCTGCTGCTTTCAGTGGGTTTTGGAAGGAGAGCTTCCTGCCTGGTGCAGTGTGGAGGCAGTCACCTCTTTGCAGAGCCCCTCGTTGCAAGGACACAGGGCTAACGAGGCTGAGAGCTGTGTTCTATCCTCTTTTCATGTTGGATATGAGGAAAAATTCATTCTTAGAAAGAGCAGTGACACGTGGGCTGCCCAGGGAGCAGTGGGGTCACCATCCCTGAGGTGCCCCAGAGCCATGGGGATGTGGCAATGAAGGATGTGGTGATGGCGTGGTGAGGTGTGCTGGAATTGAGTTGGGGATCCTAGTGGTCTTTTCCAATCCCCCTGATTCATACGAGATGATTTTGCTCTTTTTTCCTTCCCTATCACAAGAATGTGGGTTGGGGCTGCTCCCCCTGTGCCACCCCGCTCACCACCGCCCAGCACAAACCTGCCCTGTGGGGATGAGTGTTCACATGCTTTCATTACAAAATGTAGAAGCATTTGATCACTTCTGTGTTTTTTTAAGCATTCTTTCCTCCTGTTGAAGGCAAATATAGAAATGGAAGATCTGAGGAGTGATGTGGAAAAATGAACATGTGCATGAATTGACATCTCCTTGGATAGGGATGCACTGAAGTCAATGGGATAGACTTAACCAGGACAAGGGCTTTCCTCTGTAGTGCTTCGTGATGTCATGATTTTAGTGAGCAGTTGTAGCAGTTATCTCTTGGGAAGGTGTGGGTGCCCCATCCCTGAGGTGCCCAGAGCCACAGATGGGCCCTGTGCAGCCTGAGCTGGGGGGCACCCAGCCCACATTGCAGGGCTTGGGCTGGGTTTGTTTTAAGGTCCCTTCCAACCCAGCCATTCTGTGACTCTATGAGCCCAAGGAGGACTGAGGATTGTTGAAGTGTTGAAGACTGATAATTCAGTTCATTTTGGTGGACACAGGGGCATGCTCTGGTCGTTGTGGTGGCACAGCCCTGTGCAGGGCTTGCATCTCCCAAAGCACACGGGCACTTGGCTGCTTGAACAGCTATGTCCTAATATACAGAGCTCACAGGCATTGCTTTTGAAACCTGATGATTACTTAATGCACGATAATTAATCTTGTGTGGGAGCTGTCAGCGCTGTGGTGTGTTCACCGCAGCGCTGTCCCTTGGGCTGAGGGTTGGATCAATCTGCTGCTGCTTTTGGAATCAAAGCACTGGGGTTGGGTTTTGCTGCTTCTGTGACCCTGGGGGCCCTGGGGAGCTGCTCCCTTGGTCTTGTTGGTCCCACAATGTTTCCATCATTGCTTTTAGCAGTGAGAAACGTCCCTGAGTGCACTGCGCCTCCTGGCAGCTGCCTGTGCTCTCTGCAGGGTGCTTTCAGCCAAGTGATTGCAAGAAAACCCTTTTCTTCCATCCTTCCTAAAACCATGTAATGTAAGATCTGGCAGTCTCCAGGCTCCTCAGCCCAGGGGCTTGCTGAATGACCCCCCAAAATGGGGCAAGTTGGGCAGCGTGGGAAGCAGCCTGCAACGGTGTGCATGGCTGCCTGCTATGCTCCATAGCTCAGGGTGCTCAACTTCCCCATCCTGTGGGTTTGGGTGCTGCTTTCAAACTCAGCCAAGTGACGGGAATGGGGACGGCACCAAAAAAACCTCATACCTAAACCTGGGCTCCGAAAACTGTATTTTTGTTTCCTGCTCAGCTGTGCGATGGATGCTTTGCTTTACACTTTCATTTTCACAGAAGCCAGCCCGTTTATAAGAAGGCATGACCCATGTTTGGGCAGCACTTACTGTACAGATAAGGTTTTTATTTCAAAGCCACCTTTGGGAGCATAACCATATCCTGTTTTGGCAATGTCCCACTGCCGTGCCGCAGCCATCCTCCCCACTTCAGAAGCTGCAAGTAGGGCTTGCAGTTGGCGTGGCTGCACATCCTCCCATCCCAGGCAGGTGCTAATGAGCTGGTTTGCTAATGAGCTGGTTTGCTTGGTGCCAACTTAGCAAGGAGGAGCCCAGGAAGGGCACAAGGGCACACAGGGCATAGGACGTGTGCAAGATGAGCTGGCGCTGCTCTCACCATCCCACGGCCAAAAAGTTCTGCCTGGGGATGAATTTTTTTCCTCTCTGCTTATCTTGGGGAAATATTGTTTAAGAAAAAACAAAAAAACAAACAAACAACCAGGTAAAAATCCCCTATGGATTGGTGTGGCAGTGGAAAGTCTGGGAAAGTCTCACTATGTGCAGTGGGACTGGGCTGCGTTGGGTCATGGCAGTGACCCTCACTGTGTGGGGTGTCCCAGCAATGCACAATTGTGAGCATCAGTGCACTTTTCTGCAATTTCATTGTGCTGTGAGCAGGGATTTGTGGCTGCGCGGCGTTGCTCTGCTCCCTCTGCTGTGTGTGAGGGGCTGATGAACAACCATGGGTTGCTCAACCGGTGCCACCGCGGTACACATCCATGCCCTGGGCTTTGCAGGGTGGTGGCTGTGCCCGTGAAGCAAAACTTGGCCATGGGTCAGATGAAATCACGCCTGTCTGGAAAACCTCTCCTTGTCTCAGTTTGGTTTGAAGCAACAAAATCTACTGTCTGTGCTACTGGGTCACACCAGCACTCCAGCCCTGCCTGTGTGTTTGTTCCCATGCCAGCTCAGCGCTCCCCAGGCTCGCTCCTGGCTGGGGGATGTGAGCTCTGCTCCTGCCTGGTGCTTCTGCAGAGGCCAAAAAGCTTTGGGGGCTGGGCTGGAAGCGTGCAGCCATGGAGGCAGGAAAAGGTATTTTTAGCAGAGAGAAAAGCAGCCATTCTTCCCTTCCTGCAGCGCCCTCGGAAGTATTGTGTGCAAGAGGCATCGCCCTGGCAGTCCTTGTTTAAGGGCTGCAGAATGTTGGGTGTTATAATTAATGGCATGCGGGTGGAATAACTCATTGTCTTTGGGTAGCACAGCTAATTGCATGTGGGATCTCGGGATGCAGTGCTAAATGCAGGGAGCCCAGTTTTGCTGCTCACCCGTAGATGCTGCCAGTCTGAGCCCTTACCCCCTGCTCTCCTTTCCCTCCAACCTTCAGCTTTTCCTGTGCTCCTGCAAAGCAAACTGTCAGAGCAGCCACCGTGGGAAGGGAATCTCCTCAGGTTTGGTTAAAACCCAACAAATTCCTCTTCTGCCAGAGCAGAACCAGTAACAGCAACAAGAAAAGCTTTCACTTAGGCTGAGCGAGGTACAAGAGCAAAGTCCCCTCCCATCATCTCTCTGCTCAGGAAGTTATTAAAGCTCTTTCTCTAGCACCAGCAACAGCAGAATCATTGCTGTCCCATGCACGTAGCCCCCAAAGGGTTTCTTACTGCCGAATTTCCCTGTGAGCTGTGGTGCAGACAGGGCTGCCTGCCGGAACAAGTGCTGCTCTCTGCATGTGACAGACTGCTGCCACTTTTGTTTTTGCTTTCTTTTTCCTGTTTTCTCTGGGAAGGAAGCGGTGAGGTCGCAGCAGTGACGGAGCTGCTGTGGCCAGGTTTGCTTTCACTCAGGGCCAAGAGCGCTCCCTGGGGTCCACCTGAAAGTCCACCCCTATGTGCATGCATTTTCAGCCCTAAAAAACCTTTTTCCCTCTCTTTGTTTTGTTGTTCTTAGGGGTCCTGGTGAGGGATTTGGGCAAGTGGGGGGCAGTGTGCACTGGGGGCAATGTGTGCGTGCTCCTGCCCTGGGTGTGCAGTACATAGCAAAGAGTTTCTCCACGTTTTGCCTGTCCCTCTGCTGTAGCTCCAGCTACAGAGAAACACCGCCTGCTTACGCTCTGCCAGAAGTGTCACACAGGTTGGAAATGTGCATCCAATTATCAATCAGCCTGTTTTTTATTCCCCCCCCCCCCAAACAAAAAAACCCCAACCCTATGCCTATATTGACTTAAGTAATTCTCCAAGGGTTTTTGGCACTGCTGTTGCCAGTGCTTTGGTCTGAGAGGGCAAAGCTCCAACCCATGCACTGCCCATGGGGCTTTTTGGAGCTTCCAGTAGCACAAATGTGGGATGGGCAGCCCTGGAGCTTGTGCTGTGCTGTGGGAGCAGAGCTGGTGTGGGTCTAGCTGCTAAATGGAGTGAATGCAGCTGTTGAGAAGAGCATGGATTGGAAATGCTGCCTGAGAGTGGTGCTTGGGGCATTTTGGAGGAGACTCAAATCCGTCTGTACAACCACAAGATTATTTGCAAGTGGCAGCCTTTAAAATAATACCCGTGTATGTGAAGACTTGTTGAGAACATTTTATTTCCCCCCGAGTTTGAAGTCCATAGGATGCACTCAGGTTGGGTTTGTAAACGTTTCTTGGTCCCCAGTGAAGGCCGGGACCGTTTTTGGGTTATGAAGCAGAACCGAGGGGCTGCATAGCATCTGCATCAACGAGCAGAGGCTTGAGCAAAGTGATGGGTAGCACAGGGCCTTTGTGATGACAGGAGGAATGGCACTGCCAGCCCTTCATCCTCCCACTGCAGCCCTGAGGTCCCGACCCGTCTGGGTTCTGCCCAGATTATGGGTTTTCCCATTGGAGAGGTTTGCTTTACATGCAGATCACTGAGTGTCCTGATCCTGGTGTGCGGAGAGCCAGGCTGCAGCAGGAGGACTTCTGTAGCTGATAAATAGGTAAAACACTGAATCAACAACGACGGCAGGGGAGGAAGGCCCTCATAGTCCAGCACGGGAGAAACACCAACATTGGTGTTGGCTATGATATCTTAGCTGTGACATGAAGGAAAATGCTGTAAGGCAAACAGTTCCCAACAGCAGCATCAAACCTTCCTTGATCAGAATGTCCTCCCAGGTCTGATCCCTGCACCTGTCGCACACGAGGGTAATTCAACATGGACTAACACGTATTTGGAGACCAACATGTATTCATGCGCACTTGGAGACGTAACACAATCTTCACTCAAGCAATGGGAATGCCAAGGTGGAGAAGAATGCCTCATTTTCAAGAGATGGACTCCAACAGGAGCTCATCGGGCTGCATCGGGGGGATTTCCATGCTGTTTATCCTTCCAAAGAACTTGGGGAGGGACCAAAACCGAAACCTGGGCAGGTTTCTCCGCTTGGTGCGGATGTCGTGGCCGGCGTCACTCGTGGTGAGGCTGCGTCGGCTGCGTGTGAAGTGAGCCCGTAGGGCAGCACAGCCGTGCCGGAGCAGCTGGTCCTGGAACTCGGAGGTCATGAAGTAGTAGAGGACCGGATCCAGGCAGCAGTTGAGGCTGGCGAGGCAGAGGGAGATGGGGTGGAAACGGAGCGTGTTGCTGTGCACAGTGCAGTCCTTGATGATGTTCTCGATCACCAGCATGAAGAAGGGGAAGTTGATGTGGTAGGGGGTGAAGCAGATGAAGAAGACGGCGGCACACATCAGCACCATCCTTAGTGCCTTCTGCTTCTCACTGGCGCTCTGCAGCTGCGTCCCGCCCTCCTGCAGCGACTGCCGCATCTTCCAGGTGCACCACGCGATGATGCCGAAGGGGATGACGAACCCAAAGAGCTCCGCCACCGTCACCAGAGTGATGGAGGCTCCTGGCGTCAGCTGCTTGACGGCCAGGTCGGAGAAGCAGGTGGTGGTGCTGTTGGATAGGG